GGAAATAACTTATGCATGATAATGTCACAGTCTACAGTGCGAGAATCACTAAACAGTTTTTAAATGAAATAAACATTCTTGTACTGGATTGGCCAGCATTGGGTCCAGACGTTAACCCAATAGAACATGTTTGAGACATGCTTGTGCGAAGGATACGAAGTCGTGTTCCTGCCTCTTTAACCTTAAATCAGTTACAAGAATCCCCTTTAGAGAAATGGGAACTTACTTCTCAATAAGACATATCTTATTTGATTTTAAGCATGCCAAGGAGAATGCAGGTAATAATTCGAGCACGTGAACGAAACATTCATTATTAAAATCAGTTTGTCCGAACACATGATTTAAGTTTCCATTAATTGAGCGTCATTTTGCTACAACATTTACGTTTTTGTTTCTAATTTTTAAATTGTTATCTACTGAAATAGTTTTCAGTTGAAATATATAAACAACCAACAGGTTTAGCAATGGGATCTCCATTATCAGCTTTTCTAGCTGATAGTTTCTTAGATAACTTAGAACAGAAGTTTGTTAATAACAACAACAAAATAGTTTTTTGGTCAAGATATGTGAATGATTGTATAGCTCTCATACAGGGAACCGAAGATGATGCTTTACAGATTCTGGATGATCTCAATAACCTCCATCCTAACATCTCTTTTACTCTGAAACCAGAATCTGACAATAAGTTGAACTTCTTGGATATGACTATTTCCCGTAATAAAGATTCTTTAGAGTCCAACATTTATAGAAAACCCACCCAAACAGATCACGTTATACATGGAACGTCTAATCACCCAACTCAACATAAAATGGCTGCTTTCAACAGTTACATTCATCGGTTGCTTAAATTTCCTCTTTCTGATGATAATTTTAATACAGAACTTAATGCTCTTAAGCAGATTGCTTTCAATAATGGCTATGATCCCAACATTATATACAAACTTCTAAATAGAGCTAAACTAAAAATTGCAGAAAAGCTTGCATATTCTTCACAGTTTTTTCAACCGAATGCTTCAGATAACATCAGATATTTCTCCTTCACTTATATTAGTAGCATTTTTAATAAAATATCTAAACTTTTTACTTCTACAATTGATAACATCAAAATTTCCTTTAAATCACATAACACTTTAGGTTCCTTCTTAATCAATACCAAAGATAGGATGAATACACTTGATAAAAGTGGTATTTACAAATTAAAATGTGATGATTGTGATGCCTCTTATGTAGGTAGGACCATCAGAAAGTTATCCACTAGAGTCTCTGAAGATTTGAAAAGACCAAATTCTTCAAGTTTTGGTCAACACTTAGTATCCAGCAACCACAATTTTAACATCAATTCTGGTTCATCTATCTTACATGACATTAGTAGAAAGAAAAACTATCTTGAGTTGGATTTATTGGAAGATTTGGAGATTACAAGGGAAACACATGAAAACTCTTACTGTCTTAATACTTAAATTAATTTAAATTGTACTAAATTTAATCCTATATTTAAAAACTTTATTACAGCTTCACCTCGTAGAGGACCCAGCTCGACTGTTTAGACTTCATGCACTGAGCATTTCAATATTAATTTTAAAGTTCTTCCATTGACTGTGGATTCAACTGAACTACTTGCATTATAACCCATTTATATATTTTGTCTACAATTTTGATTTTAACTTTTAGTAATTTAACTGCATATTCAGATTTTTCTTTTTTACAGTACTGATAGCGCTTGGTGGACCATTTTATTGTAGTCAACCAACCACTGTCTAATATATTGTTTAGTCTTTTCTTATATTCATACTTTATGTCAACTTCAATTGCTCTCAAACTAACATCCTAATTATTATAGACAGGTTTGAGTGTGAGATTTGGATTATTCAATCTACATAAAAAATATACTATATAATTTTATATTTCATCAGTTAATTTCCTATAGTGGTGTCAGTTGGACCTTTGGTCAATACTTAGTGTCATATTATTTTGAAAGGTGCAGATCACATAACTGCCCTTCACAAGCTGTCATTTGTCACATGTCATCTCAATATTTCCGTCAGACCGGGAACCCATTCTGTCTCCGGCTTCTATACAACACGTAGCTTCTCCTTTTCAAAAATTTTAAAGTGTTTGTTTGTCTTTGTGTATTGTATTTTGTATTGTTATGTCCAAATTTACATTTATGACATTCTACTCATGTCGGATAGGCCACAACTGACGAAGTAAGTCTATAAACGTTTATCACATATAAAAATTTTTCAACCATAACCTTGGAGTTTTTTATCCAAGTGAATTAATTTTCTTTTTTATAAAAAACGTTTCTTGGCTTATTTCAGATGCCCCTGAATATGATCTATTGATCGAAAGTACTTGGGCAAGATTAAATTAATCACCGTGTTCGATAGTTGCCTTGTATACCGTCAAAGTTGAAATAGTTTTTTTGTTCAAAACTTAAATTTTTATTGGAAATTACTTAAAATAGTTTGTTTCGTTTATGTTTACGTTATTGTTATAATAAAAGTTTAAAGAGAATTACAATTTTAAGTTTTTATTTTAAAAATACAAGTGCTCCGTTTTTCGTGCCGGTTAGTATATAATAATAGGCGAGTCTTCTATAGCTAGCGCGTTTCTCGCATCTTATTATAATTTTCAGCAATTTTTGTCAAACCAATTTTCAGTTTTTTAAATGTCTGGCGGTCATTTCATCTTCGACATCTTCTCTCCATGACCATCTTTGGTCTACCTCATTTTCTTCTAGTAGCGGTGAAAAGCTTTCTTTTTACACAAATATTTAAAGCAGATTCAACAGCCGATAATACCTTCTTCTTCTTCAAGTGCCATCTTCGTTCCGAAGGTTGGCGATCATCAGGGCTATACGTATTTTCGAAACTTGCTGACAATTCGCATGGACCTTTTTCCTGCTATTTTCCCTTTGCATAATTATTCGAAGCAGTTCATATCTTTCGCCTCTTGTAATGTATCCCAAGTATTGTAGTTTTCGTTTTTTGATCGTAAATATGACTTCCTTTTCTTTATTCATTCTTCTCAATACCTCGACATTTGTGACTCTCTCGGTCCATGCTATTCTCAGGATTCTGCGATACATTTACAGTTCAAATGCCCCTGATTTTTTAATATCATCTTTTTCAACGTCCATGACTCCATTCCGTAGAACAGCACAGAAAGTACGTAACATCTCATCAGGCGAAGTTTCATTTCAAGGCTCAAATCTCTTTCACAGAACACTCTCTTTATTTTAGTGAATATGGATCTGGCTTTTTCTATTCTTATTTTGGTTTCTGCTGAGCTATCGTTGTCTTCATTTATAAAAGTGCCTAAATATTTGTATTTGCTAACTCGATCGATAATTTCATTGTGTAAATATAAATTTTGGACCTTTTGTGTTGATTTCGATATTACCATAAATTTAGTTTTCTTTATGTTCAAAGATAGTCCATATTCTTCGCTGCAGTCTGCTATCTTATTCCAATGTCTGTAGTTCTTCAAGTGTTTCTGCGATAAGAACCGTGTCGTCGGCAAATCTCAGATTGTTTAATCTAACACCATTTATTTTAATACCTACAGATTGCTCAGAGAGTGTTCTATTCATTACGTCTTTGGAATAGAGATTAAACAGGTTTGGTGACAGTATACACCCTTGTCTCACACCTTGCTTTATTTCAATTTCTTCAGTGGTATTATTCTCTACTCTCACTACTGATTTCTGATTGTAGTACATATTTGCTATTAGTCGGATGTCTCGTTTATCTAAATTCTTTTCTGTCAGAAGTCTGATTAGGTGATCATGCCGCACTTTATCAAAGGCCTTGTTGTAATCTACGAAACACATGAATACATCTTGATTTATGTCAAGACATCTTGAGACATAACGTTTAGTGCAAACAACGCCTCTCTTGTTCCGAGTCCATTTCGGAATCCAAACTGGGTATTATTGATGTCCATTTCCAGTTTTCTGTGTACTCTAGAGTGTATAATTTTCAGGAATATTTTCAGTACATGGCTCATCAGACTGATTGTACGGTAATCACTACATTGTTTGGCATTTATTTTTTTGGTATCATAACAAAGGTGGATAAAAGCCATTCTTGTGGTATTTTTCCTGAATGCTATTGAAAAGTTCAACTAATCGAGTCTAAATCGAGTCTTTTTCTATTAGTTTAAGGATTTCCATTGGTATTTCATCTGGACCTGGGGCTTTACCATTTTTCATTCTTTTTAGTGCGTACATTACTTCCTTTTCCGTTATTTCTGGACCTTCGTCTCCTTGTATGTTACTTAGCTCAGATTGTTGTCTATCATCTGCAAAGAGTTTTTCAATATAGTTTTTCCATGTCTTCAACTCTTCTTCTAGTTCTGTTATTATGTTTCCGTTGACATTATACAGGGTATTTGGCTACTTACGTTTGTACGTGCAAGTTCTTTCACTTTTTATGTACATTAAAAATATCATGTTTTGCCTGCAATTGCTCTATTTCTTCTTATTTTCTTTTATAAAACTCTTCTTTTGCTATTCTGATTTCTATTTTGATTTCTTTCTATATTTGTTTATACCTTTGTTCGTTTTTTTTCCTTTTATTATTCTCCGTTTGTCCATAAGAAGAAGAATCTTATCAGTCATTCATCTTTGTTATATTTTTGGTTTTTCTTTAGGCAGAATTTTCTTCGCAGGACCTGTTATCGCCATTTTTTATCTATGGTTTTCGTTGGCTGAGATGTTTCGTTTTCATGAAGTATTTTCAAATTATTATTAATACATTTTTGCAGTTTCTCCTTTACCTCCAGGTTACATAAATGATAATACCTAATATGCTAATTAAAAAAAATTTCATATTTTTTCACAAATTGTTTAATAAAAAATTTAGTCCACATTTTGAAGTCTCCGCATAGTGAAATTATCATTTCTACTAATATTAGCAAAAAATTTAATCATATACCTTCTGGAAGGTATATGATTAAATTCTGAAGTTATGAAGGTATATGAATTGTATTGTTACCTTCTGGAATAGTTGTAAGGGTGTCTCCAGCAGATGAAGAATGAAATGGCACTGATTTGTTGGGTTTTGCACTACGAGTAGATACTTTGATCGATTTTACAAATGCTGGATTTTGCTCGAGTAAAACGCCCACTTCCTCCATAAGTTTTAGATGCTCCTGATACGGATCTAGTACGCTTCCAGTGTTACTATCCCCATATCCTGATGACGATGATTTTTCTCTGGAACGAGGTGGCCTGGAGTGATATGTGTATGGCTTTTCATGTCCGGTACTAGGATTATCAAGAAACAACGGATTGGTTCTGAAATTAAATAATACATAATGTAATAAATTCAATTATTTAAATTAAAACATATACTGGTATAACCACCAAAAATGGCAGTATAAAATAGTATATTATGCAGGTTAACAAATATATATGTATGTTGCAGTAGGTGGTTGCAATATTGAACTTAACAGCATGAAGCAAATTTCGATAAAGAATAAATATAAACCAAAGATCAAGAAGAAGTTAATAAAAGATTATACAAACAAGCAATTAGTTTCACCTACTCTGATATAAAATTGGTAAATTTATTTATTTCTTATTTACAAGCTAAAGAAATTGTAGCTGTACTAACAAACTTTTTAAATCCGTTTTTTAACTTGGTCCTTTTATTGTATATTGGAGTCTCCCTTTTGGTCTTTCTCCTTCTGCTGTCCACTTCATTATTCTTCTGTAGCTGCATTTTTGCTTTCCCAAATATATCTTTATATACATTTATTATTCTTACAACCTTTTTTCTCTTCAGTATACTATCTGGTTTAAAATTCAATAATGATCTGATTTCATTTTGGTTAATTCTCTAGGGTCCTACAATAATTCTTATAATTTTTCTTTCAACGGTCTTTAACATTTCTTCTTTATAAATAAGACTTGTAGATTTTGCTGCGTATGTTAGAGGAAAGGCACCAAATTTGAGACACTTTTTTTGAAAAACACATATAAAACAGAATATTTAAAAGTTTATAAACTATTTAATTCGAAAACTTAAATATAATGTTTCTAGAACAAAACAAAATAAAAATAAAGCGAATAAAACATATATTTTTGTGATATATGTTTACTCTGATATAAAATTGGTAAATTTATTTATTTCTTATTTACAAGCTAAAGAAATTGTTGCTGTTCTAACAAACTTTTTAAATCCGTTTTTTAACTTGGTCCTTTTATTGTATATTGGGGTCTCCCTTTTGGTCTTTCTCCTTCTGCTGTCCACTTCATTATTCTTCTGTAGCTGCATTTTTGCTTTCCCAAATATATCTTTATATGCATTTATTATTCTTACAATCTTTTTTCTCTTCAGTATACTATCTGGTTTAAAATTCAATAATGATCTGATTTCATTTTGGTTAATTCTCTAGGGTCCTACAATAATTCTTATAATTTTTCTTTCAACGGTCTTTAACATTTCTTCTTTATAAATAAGACTTGTAGATTTTGCTGCGTATGTTAGAGGAAAGGCACCAAATTTGAGACACTTTTTTGAAAAACACATATAAAACAGAATATTTAAAAGTTTATAAACTATTTATTTCGAAAACTTAAATATAATGTTTCTAGAACAAAACAAAATAAAAATAAAGCGAATAAAACATATATTTTTGCAAAAAAACGCATTTAATTTTTTACGACATATAATGTTAAAAATAAAAGGTACCTTAATTTAGGATAACCATGTATCTAAACTTGAGATAGGCACCTTAATTTGAAAAACTATTCAAAAAAGCCCTTTCCTTCGCAAAAAGGGCAAAAAAATGTGCTGGACTTTATTTCTCCACAGTCTTCATGTGCCCACCTGCTACATTGGTAACACTTTACCCATCGTTCGCCATATCTATCGTTGGAAAATTTTCCGGTGCAAAATAAACATTCCGCATCGTTTCCTCCACTTTCGTTGGACGATGAATTAGCCAATGGAAATGTTCACTGCTATCTGAGCTTGAACTGGAAGAAACTTTCCGCTTGCTTCTTGATATTTTGCGTTTTGATGTAGAAGGCTGGCCTACGTCTTCATCTGCTATTTCTTCTTCGGGCATTGCTGTTTTTTTATTTTAACACCTTTTGTTGAACTGTTTTTTCTGGAGCAAATACACAATCTAAGTTTAGCTAAAGTACTAGATTTTTTCTTTTTTCTTCTGCAAACTTTGCTCTAATTCTTCTTTGTAGAGTAATTTACTGAAGACTTTCTTGATATGGCATGTGGTTTTTTAGTGGTATCTCTCTTGTAGAATGTAGGGATTGGACAGATGTCTTTCGGAGAATCAAGTTGTTGATGAGGTAGTGGTGGACTAGAAGTTCTATGTCCTCGCATTGGATGAGTTAGTTGTTCGTGGTTTGGTTGTATTATTTGTTCACCCCTTTTGTTTTGTATTTCTAAGTGCTCTTGAATTCCAAATTCCAAGTTTCTAAAAATATAGCGACAAATAGGGCTATTCCAGTTTTTTGGAAAGCATTGCAAGATATTTCCATCGTCGCAGCTTTGTTATACGCTTTATAAAAAATACTGGAACGGCATAAGGCGGCATAACCGTCAACTGATTTTCTCTAAGCCAGTTTTCTATTTCTTGTGCATAGTAAGTTTTCAGCTGTGCCATTAAAGTAACATCCAACGTTATACACTAATATGGGTAGAATGTGGTTGAAGGCAAATGATCGTCACAAGATTCTGTTAGGCCAAATCTATTAGAGCAACTTTTCTCGTATGAGAATAGTGACCATCAAGGACGAGAAAAACAGGGTTTGCAGCTAAAGGTTTAGTGAATTTTATGAAGTGTTGAAGCCATCTAGTGAAAATATCGGCCTGTACCCAAACTGACACGTGGCATTCTGCGACTGCTCCAGTGGAAGCTCCTAGCATCAACTCTGTATTCATATTTTTTCTAGGGATGATTAATATTGGTGGTACGAAAACTCCTGCAGCATTCATACCTGTAATAGCAGTAATCAGCTTGTCCCTTACTGCTGAAGTAAGTGATAAAACCTGCTTCTTCCCTCTCATGGATATTACTTTGCTATGTTTGTGCTGAACAATTGTAAGGCCCGTTTTGTCTACATTAAATAAACGTTGTGCAGGGTTTAACATAGTCTGGTTCATACAGGTCAAAGAACTTGAATACATTTTTAGGAGTAAAATATTTTACTCGAGCACATGACATTCCCTGAGGAGTACACATTGAAAGCGTCGAATGCCTGTTCAGTAAGAGCGTCAACCATTTCTTTCCGGCTGGTTTTTGGAATCCGCTTAATGGATGTGGTATTGAGTTTCGTATTGCAAATTAAAATCCCAGTCGTTTTATATTACCCGCTCTTAGCCCGAAATGACGGTGTTCCATAATTAGGGCATACTCAACCAACTCATTTTCTAATTCCAAAGGGAGAATAGGTCGGCGGACAATTGATATCTCGATGAGTTCTTCTGGAGTCTTGTCTGATTTCACATACCATCCTAAGGTAGCTTTTGGTACTCTAAAAGCTTTTAAGGTCTACAAATAGCCCATCTTTCTATTTCTTACTGTATTTACAGCCCGTATTATATCATTTGCCTTCCATTTTTTATTTTTTGGCGGTTTATACAAACAAAAAAAAAACACATAAAAATAAAAATTTTACATGGGTTCCTAATTTGTGACACTCTCAAATTTGGAACCTACAGGGATCTCAAATTAGGATTTTTCCGTTAAATATAAAATGCATTTTTATTGGTTATGTATGCCACACAATTGCCGTTTAATTTGCATAAAATGTATTAACAAATATTAAACTAACAAAAAAAATAATTGCAGAAAATGTAATCATCTTACCTTGATATATAGTAAGTTTGTATAAATTCCAAAAAAAATGTGTGTAATGTGTAAATCAAATTAACGTCGACAAAACAACAAAGGTCACTTCTGGGCGTCAACTAAAAGCAGATCTACCAATACTGCAAAGAATAATCAGTTTTCAATATTTTCACTAGATGTCATCCTATCGTACACAAATATACGACGGTGTCTCAAATTAGGCGCCTGTCTCGAATTCGGTGCCTTTCCTCTACTGTTAGGCTTATTGTTATTTTATATATTCTTAGTTTGATATATTTACTTAATGTTTTATCTTTTAAAATATTAGCTATTCAAGAGCCACTAAATGATCTTGGGTTTATGCAACAGCTCCTTAACTACCTTCACATAAAGATTGCCACTATACCGAGCCAAAAACCTTCAAAAACACTTATGGTACCTTTCAACACCTCATCCGGATGAGTCAACCATGAAAAAAAAAGCTTCTGAACACCCACCAAAACGCGTTGCTGATGAAATCTGGAGCAGTTTTTTATTGTAAACTCTAAACAGTTCTTCAACATGCTTTCACTTCTAGATGACTTTTTAAAAAGTGATCCGGTTCAGTGAAACGATGAAAGTTTCATGGCAGCCAAAACGATGGTAAAGAATTTAGTGACAATAAAATGATAGGGCAGCAAGGGAGTTGCACTAATTGAAGACCTCAACAAAAAATTTACTAATAAGGCTAAATACCTCTTGAAACTAGTTGCAGATATCGAAAAATGTTTCCGAGCGCTACAAAAACCGAAATCTTGAAAACAAAACAACATAATAAGTAAGGACTATAATGTACACTTTGTGTTAAAAATGATCGAAATTTGAAGGCAAAAATTATGTAAATTTCTTTAGTTTGTAAAATATGATTTACAATAAATTCTCCTCAGAAGTAAAGTTATTAAAAATCTCATGTCTACCAACTATTTTATATATACCAATTATTTTATGTATTTAATTATTATATAATGGTATTCTCTCTCCCTTTCTCTCTCTTTCTCTTCAATCCTGACCTTCCCGAAGAGAGTTTAGTGGTCATCGTGATGCCCTGTATTGTCCTTCCCCAAAGATCTGTCTCTGGTCATTTCTTGTATCTCATAGATCTTTTGCAAATGCCTGTAATTTTATCGATCCATCTTGTTGGAGATATTTCGTAATCTTTAATTCAAGTGATCCAAAGTATTTTAATTGTTTGTGATCGACTGCGTTGGATAGCCGTATGTTGACTTTTAAAATTAAAATATTTGTCCTATACTCGGTTTACACGTAATTCATAACATGGCATTATACTACCTTAAATAATGTATATATCAATCGGTTTTAAAACGTCTTGCGACGTTGTCCGATGCCAAATTTCCATGACACTCTATCATCCTATTGGGCCTCTCTAAGATCTCTTGCGCTCATCGCCTTCCTTACTCCCTCTCTCCAAGATTTCTT